TTCTTTTCCTTTGTACTTCTGTCTTTTGTTTTTGTTTGGTGGGGTTTCATACTTCTTTTCTCTGTGTCCTCTCTTTTTAAGCTATGTGTCTTGGTTTGGAGATTTTTGTGTATGGTTACCATTCGGTTTGTAAAAAATAAAATTTCACTGTATATACAATAGTTTTTTTTTTTCTTTTGAGTGCACCTGATGTTCATTCTCCTTTGCCAGTTCAGACCTTTATCCCCTCCCCTTTTATGTATTGTCATAAATTATCCCTATTTGTGCTGCAAGTTTTTTGGTGATCTTACTGTATGTTACCTTTTGTTCTTTGTTTCAGGTAAGAATAATTCCCTTTAGTATTTCCTGCAATGTAGGTTTTCTGGTGATAAAATCTCTCAGCTTCTGTATGTCTGGGAACATCTTTATTTCTCCTCCTTCATGTTTAAAGGATAATTTTGCTGGATATATTTTTCGTGGCTGGTAATTTCTGTCTTTCAAACGTTTGACTGTTTGGTTCCACTCTCTTCTAGCTTGTAGAGTTTCTACTGAGAAGTTGGGTGAAATTTTGATGGATTTTCCTTTGTGGGTCACTTCTTTCTTTTCCCTGGCTGCTTTGAGAATTTTTTCTTTGTCATTAATTTTTGACAGTTCTAATACAGTGTGCTTTGGAGAGGGCCTCATTGGATTGAAGTAATCAGGTGTTCTGTTTGCTTCTTGGAGTTGAGGAACTAGTTCTTTCCATAGGTTTGTGAAGTTCTCATCCATTATTTATTTGAATAGGCCCTCTGTCCTCTTCTCCCTCTCTTCTTCTGGAACGCCTATTATTCTAATACTTCTTTTTCTAATGGAGTCAGATAGTTCTTGTAGAGTTCTTTATGCTTGGATCTCTCTCTTCTTTCCTCTGAGTCATTTCTAGATTCCTATCTTTGATATCACTAATTCTTTCCTCCACCTGGTTGGCTCCTTTTTCTATGCTCAGTAGCTCCTTCCTAATCTCCTTAATTGCATGCTTCATTTCCAGGATTTCTGATTGGTTCTTTTTAAAAATTTCAATCTCTTTGATAAAGTACTCGTTTTGTTCATTGATTTGTTTTCTAAGTGTGCTGAATTGCCTGTATTTTCTCATATCTCATTGAGTATTTTTAGAACTGCAATCTTGAAATCTCTGTCATTTATATCACATATTTCCATGTGTTCCAGCTTGCTTTCTGGGAATTTTTCATTTTCTTTCTGATCATCCTCATTACCGTGGTTATTCATAGTATTTGCTACTTTCCTTTGTCTAGGCATAAATATCCCTTCTATATAGTAGCTTTCTCTGAAGAGGTCTTTGTATTATTTTCCAGTAGATGGTGCTGAATTGCAAGATTTTTTTACCTCCATGATCTCCCAGACTTGATCTCCATGGCTTCCCTAAGACAGTACAACTGTGCTGCTTGGGGCAGGGTTTGTTTTGCCCTCAGTGTGATGGTGACTGCAGACCCCAGACCTCCATGGGGTCCAGACCCAAGCACCAAACCCGAGATCAGTCACAGAGGGAAACTGTAGTTCCACTGCAGTAGCTCTTGGTTTACAGATAAAACGTTCCATGACGCAACAAACACTGAGGGCAATGGGAAGCAAGTTTTGGGAGTCCAAGGAGCAGCAGGGCTCTGTGGTTTCTTTGTCAGAAACACCACCACCCAACAGTGGACAGCCTCGTGGCAAAACCTTGCTCTTTGTCAGGTATCTGTTGTTTCTGTCACTGTTCATTCCACTCGCCCTGCTGCACTGGCCCCCTGTAGCTCTCTCTTTCTCCTGAGTGAAGGAAGCACCTGCTACTGTGGTTACCTCCCCTCTCCCTGCTGTACTGCGAGCTCCTGAGCTCCCAGCTGCAGGGCTGTGTCTGAGGTCCATCTGAGCTTTCCTCCCTGCTTGTCTCTCTGCTTATTCCAGGTTGCCCACCTTTAGGTGTTTCAATGCATGGGTGTCTCAGGTGTGCCTCTGTATTGAGTAGGGAATTCTTTGTTGAATTATAGTTGGTTAACTTGTTGAAATTTCAGGGAGAGGTGTCAAGGGTATCTCTCACCCTGCCATTGTTCTGACATCACTTCTCCTACTTGTATCTTAGAGTTTTTGTGGATATCTTGTCACCTAGTTTTATACTGTATGCTGTCTGGGTTTTTGGTTCTGAAATATAGTTGCTCTGTCTCTTTTCATGTTGGGAATTGGAGAGATTCAAAACCTATACAGCCATAGCCACAATCCTCCCGGAATTCTTTATTCCCATAAAATTCCAGCACTTTAGCATTAGAAGGGTTCTTACTCACCAGAGAAGTGATTATCTCAGAGCTAGTTTTGAAGCTAGGGTTATGAGAACTCAGGTCTTTTGATTTGCAGGCAAGTGTGGTACACTACATCATGGACATTCTCTTTGCCACCCAGAAGATGCTGTCACTCTTCTTTTTCAGCGACTTTTGTTATCTTTTTTGTGTCACACTTTTAGAGATGGCATCAAGCAGTGAATTAATTTTTCATTATTAGTGTTCCTTTTTCTGAATGCTGCCATACTGATTTAGTGTTCAAAATCTTGTTTTTCTTAGTTTATGAAATGTTACTCTGATTCAATCTAATTTTCACAGAGTTGCATGACTCAGAGTATTCTATACAAGCAGGCCTCTCATGCAGGTCACTGATTTATTCAGCAGATAGTCCCTGCTCTTGCTCTCTACTTTGTGTGAGCCCTCCATCAGGTGCTTTAGATATTGTAGTGATGTGCCAGGCAGGAGGCAAATGAGCTTTCTCTACAATGTGAGAAATGCCACGTTATGAGAAAATAGTGGCTGCAATAGGAACGCATAATGTGGCCCTCTTCTATTGGAGTCAGGGAAGGCTTATTAGCAGAAGTAATGGAAGTTAACACCTGAAAGTTGAGTAGCTGTTAGCAGATGACCAGTAGGGATAAGAGGATCCAGGTAGAGGGAGTGGAATATGGAAAGGTACTGAATCAAGAATATTAAAACTGAAAATTTAAGAATATATTAATAGTTACTGAAGCTAATAATTACTGAAAGTCCATAAGAAATAATGCTACAAATCAGCTTAAGAGGGTACCTCCTGGTTTTAACGTGCATGCCACTTTTTTCAAAATTGGAATGGAAATTTGACTAAGGACATGGTAGAGGGATAGAAGGTTCTATAAACTGCAAAATGAAATAATAGAATGAGCACATGCATCTATTTTGCATTTTTGCTTATGTTTTTTAAATTTTATTGTAGGTAGTTTCTTGGATATCCATTAGCCAACTATCCTTTTTTTTGGATAGTTGGCTAATTTCAAATTTTAGAATAATAGAAATAGAAATGAAGAAGCTTTTGTTTATATTTTATAATTATTCAAATTATTTTATTAATAATTTGGAAATTCTTCCATAAATATAAAATATTTGTATTTATTTTTTGTGAACCATGAGGAATAAGGGCTAATCTATGTATTCTGTGTAAATTCACTATCTAGCATTTTTAAATGAAAATATAAGAAGGTAAATAAAGTAATTTACCATATAAAATTTGAAAGTATTGTCCTCCTAGTTTTCCTTAAACATTTTATCTTCAAAATAAAAACCTAAGTGTGTACAGTATTAGTGTGTTTTATTTTTGAATACTGGGTTGATGTGTGATTTGCCCTCCATTTAAGTGTTAGAATCGACTGTTTCAGAGCTGGTGCCCACAGTTTCCCACAGAAGGTTTCCTGCATCTGCTGGCTGTTGCTGATAAGAATCCAGTGTTTAAGCCTTTTGTTTATCTGAGGAAATTCCTGTTAGGTGTGTGCACATTCCCCTTTGTTTTCAGTATTAGCTTTAGTGAGTCGGCCATAAGAATCCTACACAACACTTATTTTAGCAAAGTCCTTTTGCAGATGGGGGATACTTTCCTGCATATAATTAAGATGGGAGTGAGCTAATCAGAACCTATTGATTAAAATTTTATGTGAACCGAAAGATTTTCAATTAATGCTATATTGGTTTTTAAAAAATAACATCTGTGCACATCAATTAGACAGGAGGTATTCTGCACTGGAAATATATTTTTGGTAATTTGAAACAAAGTTATTATAAATATGTCTGATTAAATTTGAAGAGACCTTTGAAGTGGATATTCATTGTAGTAAATTAAACAATTGGTGGGTTTTATTTAGATACGTTTTTGTGGTATTTTAATGTTTTTCTTTCAAATATTCATTATATCCAAAACCACATGTATAATCTGTTCAGTATTTAGAGGCTGAGATTAATGGTTTCAGTTAAATCACACCTGCTAGCCCTGGCTGATGTGGTTAAGTGGTTAGGGCATTGGCCCGTGCACCAAAGGGTCTCTGGTTCAATTCCCAGTCAAGGGCACGTACCTGGATTACAGGTTCAAACCCTGCCTTCTGTCAGGGTGCGTGTGGGAGGCAACCAGTCAGTGTCTCTCTCTCTCACGTTGATGTTTCTCTCTCTCTCTCTCCTATTTCTCTCCCTTTCGTGCTCTCTAGAAATCAATGGAAAAAATATCCTTACTCCTTGGGTGAGGATTAAAAAAAAATCATACCTACTATTAAAGCCAAAATTGTTGTGTTCAAAGTATTCCTGCAGCTGCATATTGCTGTTTTCAGCCAGGAAAGCTTTACAATGCCTCCCATCAGGAAGTGGTTCTGGGAAAACCAGTGACAAGTTTTCTTGCTTGTGTTAAAGAATAGTAAATAATATTTTCCGAACTATTACTTAAGTCACCTTTTGTTTCTTCAATCATCTTTTCTCTTTGAAAATTTGAAAAGTTGTTTTTGCAAGTTTGTTTTGGAAAGTTTTTGGTTTCTTAGCTAAGCTGACTTCTTAGAATAAGGTAGATTTATCACCTGTGTAAATATTTAAATAAATAAATTGACATTTGTAAGAAAATTTCATAAATTTTTATCATAGGGAAGAAAACAGAATGCTTTATTGCTTTAAAACATTTTAATTCTTTAGACAGATTCCAACAAAACTCATTTCTCATTTCAGGCCTTTGAAGACCTCAGCAAGCTAATGGTCAAGGTATATGTCATTTATATCTATTAAATTCATACCGATTATGATACAGTTTTGAAAATATACTTTGTTAGCAGACACTTTGTGTACAGTATTTCTTTTCAGTCTTTTACTGTTCTCTTGACAGGCTAAAGAAATGGTGGAGTTATCAAAATCAATTGCTAATAAGATTAAAGACAAGCAAGGTGACATCACAGAAGATGAGGTAAATAGGTTGCTTTTTAAGGCATTAGAAACTACACAAATAATGCAGTGGTGTCTTGGCGGTTTAATGTAGCTTGCTTTTTTAATGTAGTGTTTTATTTCTTTTAGGATTTGAGGACATATGAGAGTGCTAAAAAAAGTCAACCATAAAAACTTAATTCTATTAGGATTATAGGATATTTCAATAGCTTTTCTTGGAGTGTATAAAACATATATTGAAATATGTAAGGAGTGTCTATTTTAAGTCTATTTTATACATCATAAGTTTCATCTCTGTTTCATTAAATTTGTCTACAGTCTGGTCACAGCCATTTTGCTAAGTTCTCAGTTGTATCATTTGGTTGGCATTAACCATAATATAGTTGTTATTTAAATCACCTCTCACACCAGATTTGTGAGATAAAGGGAGTATGAGATAGCAAAATAGAAAAAAGGATAATTAGATTTATGCAGTAAACTATGAGAAATAATTGAGTAGAATTGAATTTATGATGGAAGGATTGCGAATGTTGCAGTGGAAAGACTAATTCTGAATTGTCTTTTTGTGCATTTTCTCCTCTTATTATAGACCATCAGGTTTAAATCCTATTTGCTGAGCATGGGAATAGCTAACCCAGTTACCAGGGAAACCTATGGCTCCGGCACACAGTACCACATGCAGCTGGCTAAACAGCTGGCTGGAATATTGCAGACACCTTTAGAGGTAAAAACCAAACCTAAATGGTTTTTTAAATTATGTTAAATTATTTCCATGTCATCAGAAATCTTAAGATCATAACTCCCTTCATGATGTGGGTACTATTCAACCATCATGTTATTTTCTTCTTTCAGGAATATTAAATTAGTTCAGTGTACTTATTAATGGGTTGTTTGTCAATGATCTTCTAAATTGTTTTCAATTTTCACTTCATATATCTGAAGTTTTTCTTATCTCTTACTATTTTTTTTTTTTTAATATACCTTTATTGATTTCAGAGAGAGGAAAGGAGAAGGAGAGAGAGAGACAGAAACATCAATGATGAGAGGAGTCATTGATCGAGCCCACAACCCGGGCATGTGCCCTGACCAGGAATCGAACCCCAATCGCCTGGATCCTAGGTCGACGCTCAGCCGCTAAGCCATGCCCGGCCGGGCTCTCTTACTATTTTTTAATCCTCACCTGAGAATATTTTTTCCGTTGCTTTTCAGAGAGGGTGGAAGGGAGAGAGAGAGAGAGAGAGAGAGAGAGAGAGAGAAACATCAAAACATTGATGAGAGAGACTCATTGCTTGGTTGCCTCCTGTACACACTCCTACTGGGGCTGGGGATGGAACCTGCAACCGAGGCATATGCCCTTGAATGGAATTGAACCCAAGACCCTTCAGTCCGAGAGCTGACACTCTAACCTCTGAGCCAAACCTGCTAGGGCTTATCTCTTATTTTCAAAAGGAAATATGTGATCTCTATATATTTAGATATATTTGTATATAAGTAGTCAATATACAGGGTGGGGCAAAAGTAGGTTTACAGTTGTTCATATGGAAAATAATACAGTCATTACTTATTAATACAAGAATAGACTGTTGCCCTACCCGATTTTGCTCAATGGTTAGAGCATCGGCCCTCGGTTCACTGGTACTGAAGGGTTGCAGGTTCAATACCTCGGTTGGGAGGCTCAATCCCGGGCTTTGGTTGGGGGCGGGTGTTGGAGGTAACCAATCGATGTGTTTCTCTCACACTGACATTTCTCTCTCTCTCTCCCTTCCACTTTCTCTGAAAAGCAGTGGAAAAAAATATCCTAGGGTGAGGATTTAAAAAAAAAAATAGTCTCTGTTTTGCATACTCACAACTGTAAACCTACTTTTGCCCCAACTTGTATATGTACTATTAATTTCATAATAAGATTTATCTTCTAGTTTAACATTCAGGCAATCAGAACTTTATTTATTAAAGCACTTGTATTAAGAAATATTTCAAACATATGACAAAATAGAATAGTATAATGAATCCCTATGTGCCCACCATCCAGCTTCTTCTGTAAGCTGACCTCCACTCAGAATTACTGTAAAGCAGATCAGAAATATCATAGCATTTTATCTGTAAATATTTCAGTATGTAATTATAACAAATACACCTTTAAGTGTAATTATAATCCTATTTCATGACTAAAAACTTAAAAAATAACTTTTTAATATTAAATATCTAGTTATTGTTCACATTTTCTCTTATAGTTGGTTTGTTCAAATTAGGATACATTGCAGTTGGCTGATTGGTAATTCCATGGGTTCCCTTCTTTTCCTCCCCTCTCCCCCTTACTAGGAGAACCTAGTAGTTTACACATTGTTTGCGGGTAGTTTTTATCACATGCCCTACTACCAGTCAACGTAAAATGTATAAATACATTTCCCGCATACAGTGTGTTTATCTCAGCCTGGATTTTGCTGACTTGTATGTTAACATGGTTCCCTGTAAACTGGTAGTTCTAGCTAGTTCTTTTTTTTCTGACATGAATATTTCATACAAGTGTTGTACATTTTCATCAGAAGGTACATAATATCTGATTGTCTTTTCTTTGTGATGTTAGCAGCCATTGACAGTCACTGTCTAGATTATTACTTCATTAGGAGTAGCAAAATGGTGACATTCTTACTTAGTTCTATAGTTTCTTCTTTGTTTATTAGCTGGAATAACTTAAAGACATTTTTAAAACATGGCCGAGAGCCCCTCTTTTCATTTAACTAAATGTTAAAAGTAATAATTACATTAAAGTCCAAATATTGAATTTGAATGTCTCATCGTACCTGAGTAAGTTCTCCTATGTATAAATAGTATTTTAAAAAGCTTCTTAAGAAATTTTATAATTCCTGATTTCACTCTGATTATGTTTTCTAAGAAATGCTAACTGGTGCTAATTATAACATAATACTTTAAAAATTTTCATATTTTAACAGGAACGAGGGGGTATAATGTCACTCACGGAGGTGTACTGTTTAGTAAACCGAGCTCGAGGAATGGAAGTAAGCATAGAATATTTAGATTTTCTTTTTTTAAAACTAAATTTAGACTTTCTTAATATAATACAAATTTCCCTACAGTGAATACAATTTGAGGAAGGGTTGTGATTATTGAAACTATTTTGAGAAAAAATATGGTGCAGTGAAGAGAATACTACTGTGTAATCTAGGAGGTAGATTCTGTTCCTGGTTTTGCCGAGTGAACTTGAGTAGCTTACTTAACCTCTCAAACTCAGTTTTCCTTCCCTTCAAATAAGGATTTGGACTGACAGCTTTCAGCTCTAATAGTCTGTGTTTGTATTGTGATTAATAAGGTTGTACATGATGCCCTTTCTCTGGGATAGTTAGCTGTTAGCTGTTTGACTTAACTGGGTTGGATACAGAGTGCCTGTAGATAATACAGAGGGAAAGCTGCCATGCTCCTTGGGCTATGAATCAACTGCGGCTATTCTTCAACTCTCATTGACCCTTCACACCCAGATGTCCTTGGCCTCCAAGGTTCTGGACATGCACTCTTTGTGCCATCACAGTCAAGTAGTCAAACACAGTTTTGTGGTGTCAACAGTTAGCTCCATCTTTCCAGCATATACCCCAGACCCACAAGTTAAGCCTATGTCCTGTGTTTTTATTTTTATTTATTTTATTTTTTTAAATATATTTTTATTGATTTCAGAGAGAGGAAAGGAAGAGGGAGAGAGAGACAGAAACATCAATGATGAGAGAGTCATTGATCGGCTGCCTCCTGCACGCCCCCTGCTGGGGATCAAGCCCGAAACCTGGGCATGTGCCCTGACTGGGAATTGAACCGAGATCTCCTGGATCATAGGTTGGTGCTCAACCATGAGCCACACTGGCCAGACTGTGCTCTGTGTTTTTATTTGAATAGTCATAACTGCCATCAGTGAGTACTTACCATCCACCAGGCACTCTGAAGTGTTACCTCATTTATTCTCCCAGTAACTCAGTGAGGCAGCTACTTTTTACTATCTCCATCTGGGGGTAACCTGGGTTAAGGAAATTGAGGCTTACAAAGATTAAATAATTTTACATAGGCTGCACCTGGAGACTGTGATTTGACAGGGCTTTGGACCCAGGCTGGTTGGCTCCATAGCCATTCTGTGTGACTCAAAGCTGTGCTTGTCATCCACCACACTGGGCTTATTCTTTTAGGCTCCACAGTCCCACTAGCCAGCTACATGTGATGATTGTAAACTTGAAATGTAGTGAATCCAAATTGATATGTTGTAAGTGTAAATTACACACTTCATTTCCAAAACTTAGTACAGAATAAAGAAATCTTAAATATCTCATTAATAATTCTTTATATCAATTATATAAAGTGGGGCAAAAGTAGGTTTAAAGTTGTGAGTATGTGAAACACAGTTTATTCTTGTATTATTATTTATTAATTGTATTATTTTCCATATGAACAACAGTAAAGATACTTTTGCCCCACCCTGTATGGAGAATTTTTTATCTATTGGATATATATGTATTAAAATTAATTTCACATGTTTCTTTTAATTTTTTAATATGGCTACTAGAAAATTTAAAATTGCATACATGACTTACATTCTATTTCTATTGGTTAGTACTGCTTTAATGAATAGAAGTTTTTGCTTCTTTGTTAACTTTTTGCCTTTCAGTGATTAAGCCACCTAAAATCCTTGATAAATGATAATTTTTAAATTTTCTCTTCTGTTTTAGTGATTGTTATAACTATATAGCATCACTCTATTAATTTGCAGTGTAAACTGGATTTTTCCCCCCATTAGTTGCTCTCACCAGAAGATTTAGTGAATGCATGCAAGATGCTGGAAGCTCTGAAATTACCTCTCAGGTAAAAGAACCTCTGCTGGAAGTTTGCCAATGATAGCCACTATTCTGCACTAATTAGACAGGAAAGCCCTGCCAGGTTTGCCAACATTTTTCCCCTCTTGAAATTATATGTAAACAGAATTCACTTGGCACTACAAGCACCTCTGTCATCTTGGCTTCCATCCTGTGCATGGCCTGAGATGGGTGACCGAGGTGCTTGTGGTACCAAGTGAATTCTGTTAACATATAATTTCCTTATCTTTAGGTTAAGAAAATTAGCCAGTCAGAGATGTACAGCATAGTGAATAATATTGTAATAACTATGTATGGTGCCAGGTGGGTACTAGAATTATCAGGTGATAACTTCACAAATTATATAATTGTCTAATCACTATGTTGTACACCCGAAACTAATATAAATGTCAACTATAATTGAAAAATAAAAAAATAAAAATTGAAAAAATAAGTAGCCAGACATAGGTATTTTTTTAGTATGTGGATTATAGTTCATTCATGAACTTCATAGTTATGCCATATTTGCTTGTGTTTAAGTTTTAAATGATGCTTGTGTTAATATTACCCTCATACCTGGGCATAAAAGAAGGTGAAAAATATTTGTGCCTCCTTAGTTGTTGAAGATCCTAGATATTCACAGCTTTGTTCTCCCATCTGCTGTTTTTAGGCTCCGAGTTTTTGACAGTGGTGTCATGGTAATTGAACTTCAGTCGCACAAGGAAGAGGAAATGGTGGCCTCAGCCTTGGAGACAGTATGTGAACCCAATTTCCTCCAGTCATTAGGGCTTGCAGTGAGGATCCGAATGCCTAGCAACTTGAGAAACAGGATTTCCTTTTGAACTTAACTTTACTAAAAAGTAATGGCTGTTGGCCCAGTTAAAATGGTTTATCATTAACAATGAATAAATATTAATCAAAATTATTCTTTGAAAGCTTTTTGAAACCTACTAACATGCAGAACATAAGAAGGGAGAATTAGAATTAATGAGGTATTCTCTTTTTGTTTGAAGCTCAGTCTTGAGAACATGTTTTTAGCGTTGTTAATCAGAATGTTATCCACGATAGAACTTTTATTTTCAGTAACACCTACACAAGTAGCATTACAAACACCAAAAGTTATTTTATGAAATAATTCTTTGAAAAAATATGAAAAGCAACTGTAGTTTAGATGGATTTTATGGCCAAACTGCTATTACTCATTAGGGTACTTGAAATATTACTACCTTCATAGCCCCTATAATGAACCTGTATAATTTGAATAACTCATATTTATTGTACTTTTTTTTAGACTAGATAAAAAACCCCACACTATAGACATTTTGACCACATATTTTATTTTTTAAATTTAAATTTAATTTTTAAAATTTATTTTGTCGAGAGTATTTCAGATGTCCCCCTCCACCCATCTCCCACCCATCCCTGGGCCTTCACCTGTCTATTGTCTGTGTATACATGGTCTACACATATATGCTTATAAGTTCTTCGGTTAATCTCTTCCCGCCCTCCTTCCCGCCTTCCCTCTGAGATTTGTTAGTCTCTTTCATGCTTCCATGTCTGTGGTCCTTTCTTGTTTGTCATTTTATTTTGTTCTTTAGATTCCACATGTAAGTGAGATCATGTGGTACTTGTCTTTCTCTGACTGGTTTATTTCACTTAGCATATTATTCCCTAGGTCCATCCATGCTGTCTCAAAGGGTAAGAGATCCTTTTTTATAGCTGCATAGTTTTCCGTTGTGTAAATGTCCCACGGCTTTTTTATTCACTCATCTACTGATGGGCACTTGGGCTGTTTCCAGATCTTAGCTATTGTAAATTGTACTGCTATGAACATAGGGGTACATAAGTTCTTTCTGATTGTGCTTCAGGTTTCTTAGGATATATTCCTAGAAGTGGGATCACTGGGTCAAATGGCAGTTCCATTTTTAATTTTTTGAGGAACCTCCATATTGTTTTCTATAGTGGCTGCACCATTCTGCATTCCCACCAGCAGTGTACTAGGGTTCCCTTTTCTCCATATCCTCACTTTCACTTGTCATTTGTTGAATTATTGATGGTAGTCATTCTTACAGGTGTGAGGTGATATCTCATTGTGGTTTTACCTTGTATCTCTCTGATGATAAGCGACATTGAGCATTTTTTCATGTGTCTGTTGGCCATCTGTATGTCCTCTTTGGAGAAATGTCTATTTAGGTCCTGGATTATTTGTCTTCCTCTTGTTGAATTGTATGAGTTCTTTGTATATTTTGGAAATTAACCCCTATCAGATATATCATTGGCAAATATGTTCTCCCATATGGGTTCCCTTTGCATTTTGATACTGCTTTCTTTTGCTGTGCAGAAGCTTTTTATTTTGATGTAGTGCCATTTGTTTATTTTCTCCTTTGTTTCTCTTGCCCTTGGAGATGTATCATCGAAAATTCCACTATGTAAGATGTCTGTGATTTTACTGCCTATGTTTTTTTCTAGGAATTTTTGGTTTCACACCTTACATTTAAGTCTTTTATTCATTTTGAATTTATTCTTGTGTATGGTGTAAGTTGGTGGTCTAGCTTCATTTTTTTGCATGTACCTGTCCAGTTTTCCCAATACCATTTATTGAAGAGACTGTCTTTACTCCACTGTATGCTCTGTCTCTTATACANTTGATTTCTGGGTCCTCTGTTCTATTCCACTTATCTATATGTCTGTTCTTGTGCCAGTACCAGGCTGTTTTGATTACAATGGCTTTGTGGTATAACTTGATCTGGTATAGTGATCCCTCCATCTTTGTTCTTCATTGTCAAGATTGCCATGGCTATTTGAGGTCTTTTTTTGGTTCCATATAAATTTTTGGAATATTTGTTCTAGCTCTGTGAAATATGCTGTTGGTATTTTAGTAAGAATTGCATTGAATCTATATATTGCTTTTGGTAGTATAGACTTTTTAATAATGTTAATTCTTCCAGTTCATGAACATGGTATATTCTTCCACTTGTTTGTATCTTCCTGTTTCATTTTTCAGTGTCCTGTAGTTATCTGAGTACAGGTCTTTCACATCCTTGGTTAAGTTTATTCCTAGGTATCTAATTTTTTTGTTGTGATGATGAATTGCATTGTTTTTTTAGTTTCCCTTTTTGAGAGTTCATTATTGGTATATAAAAATGCTGTTGATTTTCAGGTGTTAATTTTGTATCCTGCTACTTTGTCAAATTCATTTATTAAATCTAGTAGTATTTTGGTGGAGTCTTTAGGGTTTTCTATGTACAATATCATGTTATCTGCAAGTAATGACAGTTTTACATTCTCTTTTCCAATTTGTATGCCTTTTATTTTTCCTTCTTGTCTGAACGCTGTGGCAAGGACTTCACATACTATGTTGAATTAGAGTGGTAAAAGCAGACAAGCCTTGACCACATAGCTTAAACTAAACCTACATATAAGGGTTCTTCACTGGATCACATAATATGAATTCAATTAAAATTTGTTTTATGTTCCTTTACAGAATATCAAAAGTGGTTTTTTTTTTTTTAGACTTTAGTACAATGCCTTTGTTATATTATAGAGGGTTTTATGATATTTTAGGTGCTACTTTATTTGGTCTGTGCCCTTCAGCTTTTGTAGAATTAAACATTAGTGAAGAAGACTTAGTTCTACAGTGAATATTCTTTGTATTTTAGTAGAAAATTCAGTAAATTATTTCCTGCGTGTAACTGGTATACTTTCTCTCTAGGTTAGTACCTCTGTGTTCTAAATTATGACATTTTATTCTGTGTGTTTCTATTAGGTTTCAGAAAAGGGATCACTAACATCAGAAGAGTTTGCCAAGCTTGTGGGAATGTCTGTCCTCCTGGCTAAAGAAAGGTAAGTAACGCCCTTGCTCTGAATTACAACTTGTGGTTCTGAATGGACAGGTGATTATGGTTTTCTCCCTTGATTTCTAGGTTGCTTCTTGCAGAGAAGATGGGCCATCTTTGCCGAGACGACTCAGTGGAAGGCTTGCGGTTTTACCCAAATTTGTTTATGACACAGAGCTAAGGGTTTTTTGTATTTGAAATACTGCTTATCCATATACTTGCATCATGTAGAGGTTGTATGATATTGAGCTAAGAGTAAACTCTGATAAACTGAAAATTCACTGGAACTTGCAGTATAATATAAAACCCTTTAAATTTCTTCCTAATATTATGGGGTAGGAAGTTAGGATTTAGGACGAATATAGGAAAATACAGAAAAATGAAGGCCAATGTAAATTTGAAATCATACTACAGTTGTATAGAATCCTCATAGTTTAACTTGAAATATGGTGGATTTTAACTTGATCATCAAATCTAACCATTTTTAAGAAAGGAATTTAATTCGTGGGGTAAGAAAAGGAGAAGTTGCATGTTTGGACAGGTTAGTTTCTTATTTTGGTATAACTAAAATTCACTGAATTATAAACAAGTGAAGTTTTTTTCTGTGTCTGATGTGCCCACTCTGGGGGTTTTCATGAAGCAAGTCCTATGTACAATATAGTTTAAGAACCTTGTCACATTGGAACAAAATACCAAACTGCAGAGTACCATAGTAGGCTCCTTCTAAGGCAGGGGTGGGGAACCTTTTTTCTGCCAAGGTCATTTTGATATTTATAACATCATTTGCAGGCCATACAAAATTATCAACTCGAAAATTAGCTATGAAAAAAAGCTTCTAGATTTATTGAATTTCAAGTCCCATGTGCTGTTGCCTTGGCGGGCCAATCCAAATGATTTCATGGGCCATATATGGCCCTTGGGCAAGACGTTCCCTATCCCTGTTCTAAGGGCTTTTCTTTAGAAGCAGTCATAGCATGTCTTCAGCAGACCAAATAAAGCACCTTAAAAAAGGAGAGAATTGTATTTGACTCACATATAAATTATCTGACTAGTTTTTTTAAGTGATGATTTCATGCCTGGCATTTAAAGAATGCAACTATGTCATTTTGTTTAAAAAATGCTGTGGATCTTGAAACTGAACTAAAGAGCTGTATAGACATGCCCAGAGATATGATTACGAATTTGGGAAGTAGATGGCTCAGGAATTCCCTAGGATTGTGTGTGGGTGGAGGGGCTGGAAGAACCTTTAACTAGCTTAGGAAGTTGTTGTTTTTTTACCTCAAAGCCAAGGATGGGAATAAAAGTGGAAAAGTAATATGTCTTCTTTTCCCTCCCTCAAGGAGTTTCACACTGAACTTTTAAATATCTTTCTCTCATATTCCAGCAAATTTTTTTTTTTACCCCACACATGATAAGTTGTGTAGAGAAACTTCCTGCTAAAAAGTATTACTGAGGTAACAAAAACTGGCTAATACTGAATTTAGATTGCTTGAGTGTTAAAGTGGACTCCCTGACGTCATATGTTCCTGTTATATAGCGTACAGTATGCTGAAATTACTTCAAACTCAGGGACCCCACAAGCACAGAGGAGACTGTCTTTCTGAGACTGAGTCAGATGTGGAAGGCAGTGATGATTTTTGGCCAAGCCTCCAGAGGCGATAGTATCTGTGTTGAGGGAACGATTGAGACCAGGAGGAGGTAATACCTGGCTTCACACTTGAGTGCCACTGCCAGAGGCTGCTATAGGTGCCCTTTGGGAGAGTTGCAGGGTTCCTGAGCTGCAGACCCAGGGAATCCCTCAAAGTGCACCCAGTCAATCCCTGATCCCTCCTGGAAAAGTGGCTGTCGCTGCTTCACATCCTCCAGTGACTCGGGAATGTTGTGCCCGAGGCATCCTGCCTTAGTCTTCATTTTCCAAACCTGTCACTGATTCTACATTGTGATGACAGATCCTCTATTTCCTTTATTGCTCAGCCTCAGGTTTGTTTTGGGGGAAATTCAGTGTCTGGCTGCCCAAGTCTTTCAGGCCATAGTGTAAGCTTGTTTGTATGTCACTCCTCTCTGGACTGCACAGCTAAGATTGTTTGAGCTACTGGGATCTAGCTCTAATGGTGTGGATTCATTACAGCCAGCTCCCATAATTCAGCACATTTGTTTACATTAGTGTGGCAACACATTAACAGAAGTGGAGATCTGAATTGTATGCAGTGAACTAAAGAGGCAGTACAGTGACATATGAATATATTTTGCAAAAAAAGTTAGTTAAAAAACAAATATGATTGCTTTCATTGTTTTATTTTTATTATTATTTTTGTTAATCCTCACCTGAGGATATTTTTTCCATTGATTTTTTTTTTTTTAGAGAGAATGGAAGGGAGGGAAGGAAGGGGAGAGAGAAACATCGATGTGAAAGAAACACATCCATTGGTTGCCTCCCACACACGCCCTGACTGGGGCCGGGAATCGAACCTGCAACCCAGGTATGTGTCCTTGACCAGGAATCGAACCGGTGACCCTTTGGTATGCAGCCCTTCACTCTAACCACTGAGCAACACCTGCCGGGGCATTGTTTTATATTTAAAGTGGGCATTTTTCACATTTTTCAGACTTCAGTATATATATTTTTATCTTTTGTTGTTGTCAAGGTGTTATTTTGGTCCTCTATTAGTAGAGGTTATTTTGAAATACAGCCAATCAGGTCCTAAGTGCATAAAAGTTCTGTCTTGGTGCTTATTACTGGTATAATTGTTGTTTTTGCTTTCCTAACTTTGCTCTTAGGAACATTAACTGTTGGTCGCTTTATGGTAATGGAATATTTCTAGTCACATATACTGTCCAAAAATTTTTTACATTGTACAATTGAAGATTGTCTTCAGGGTTAAATGATTGGTATTAATGTATATAGAGTACAGTTATTGCAAAATTTAAAAATAATTTTTCTTAACTTGGTGTCTTTTTAAATACTCTTTGAAAAATATATGAAAATGATAAACCTTTAATCAGAATAAGTCGGTATGTTACAATTTGTTCTTTTAGATTTATAATCAAGAGTTGATTATAAATATTTATGACCTCAAGCTCTTAACTATTTTAGTTGTTTTAAAAGAATCGCAAATGGCTCATGAACTTTTTCTTTAAATTCTTGATGTGAATTCCACTGTTGATTGACAGTGTGTATTTATGTGAATGTACTATATCTTGTTCCCTGTTACCAAACTAATATGACCAGATGTGGATTCATCATGTCATTATTCTCATGCTCAACTACTTAAAATGGTTCTTCTTTGTTGAACAATTCTCAGAGTTTTCATTTTGGAGTAGTAGAGTCACAACTTACAAGGTGGTTAGATTTTAAAGACTGTGCTCAAGTATGAAATCAAACTTGCTCATAATGATCCTTCAAAATCTCTTAAATTGCCAATAAAGTTCTACATATAGTCTTACATTAGAATTCTTGTGGTGATACATGGGTATGAATATTTTATGAATATAGTAAGTACAATATATAATAAAAACTATATATCAACAGTAGACTTTTGTAGCACCAATAATTAAACTATTTAAATGTGTCTCCTTTTTTGCTGATAAGTATGGTTGAATTTATGTAAATTCATTGCTAACTCTATCCCTTATGATAGATCTAGAGTATAAGCTCCAGAGGGGCAGAGATTTTGATGCAGATTTTGTTCATGGACATAGCCTCAGAGCCTAGAACAGGGCCTGGCATACAGTCAGCACTCAGTAAGTATTTATTGAATGAATGAACTCTGATGTATTTACCTATTAAAATTTGGCTTCACTTTATCCTACTTTATCTCCCGTTCAGTTCAATTAAGAAAACATTTTTTAATACATACCAACTTAGTGTGAGGAACTTTGTGTGGACCACTGGTGGGGGGTGGATACAAAAGTGAGTAAGATATAGCTCCTCCCGTTTAGAGGGTGGCCTACTTGGGGGAAGGGACATGTGAGCAAACTTAATCGAGGATGGAATGAAGTGCATGCCATGGAAGGGGCACAGGTACCATGCTGTGGAAGACCGGAAGGAGCCCTTAGCTCTGATGGAGGAATGTAAGAAGGCCTGTGGGATAGGAAGATCTTGGTAAACTAGGCTCACAAGGACCAAGTGATCAGCAGTGGGTGGAAGGCACTGGGTCAAGGGAACAGCACGAGGTGTGCCCCTTCCTACTTCTGGACCCATTTCCCTTGTCCAGATTTCCTTTGTTACTTCCCACTCACTTCCGCACCCCATCCCCACTAATCCCACCTGCTCTAGAAAAATTTGTTTGGGCCCGGCCGGGCGTGGCTCAGCGGTTGAGCATTGAACTGGGATCCAGACGATCGGGGTTCGATTCCCGGTCAGAGCACATGCCCGGGTTGCGGGCTGGATCAATGACTCTCTCATCATTGGTGGATACAATGACTCTCTCATCATTGGTGTTTCTATCTCTCTCTCTCCCTCTCCTTTCCTCTCTCTGAAATCAATAAAGATATATTTAAAAAAAAAGAAAAGAAAAATTTGTTTTCAGTACACAACTCTACTATTTCTAAACTCCATAAGAGTTATTTCCTGCCCAATATACTTGACTATATTTTGTATTGCTCTCTGTTTTAATGCCATAAGAAAATAGAGAAATTCAGTTTCTTTAAGTTCAAGGACTGTCATACAACACTTCTTTTGGCTTCCGACTGGCCTAAGTCAGTGATTGTATGTGGTATTGTCCTAGTTAAAGTATTACTTGAATTGAGTGATTTTGGGATTATAATGTGTGATGAGTTCACTTGTAAACCTAAATCTGTGGCCTTTACCCACTTCCCAAGAGGCTTCTCAACTAGACTTGTCTGGGCTCAGCCTACCTGAGACACACTGTTTTATTCAAGTTTTATTATATCGCCCATACCCATGATGCGGGAGCACTCCAGAAAAGTCAGGTTAACACACATGTAAGATCTAGTTATTACATTGAAAATTGGGTAATGCATGTTCTTCCTTGTGTCCTGATAATCATGAATCAGTTAAAGCTTTTCTCTCAATATTATCCAGGGCAATAAAAGATCTCTCTGTGTAAATGGATGTTATTGAGACAGTGAATAAATTTTTACACAATTTGCACAAGATCATTAGAGCAGTTGCTGACCCAGAAAGAGAACTGAAGATATCTTGATAGCCTGCTTGTTTTAGTTCAATACTGACAAGACCATACCACTGTTCTTTTGAAAGCTTTTTTCCCCTTCTCATCTATGTTGCTTGATTTTTATTTTATTATTTTATTTTTTTGTTAATCTTCACCCAAGGATGTTTTTTTCCATTGAGTTTTAGAGAGGGGAAGGGAAGGGGGGGGAGAGATATGTGAGAGAAACACATTGATTGACTGCCTTCTACATGTGCCCTGACTGGATTGGGGATTGAACCTGCAACCCTATTATGTGCCCTTGATTGTGAGTCGAACCTACGACTCTTTGGTTTGTGGGCCAATGCTCTAACCACTGAGCCACACTAGCCAGGATGATGTTGCCTTCTTTTAGAAAAGCTTATTTTAACTGTTCAGTAAAGACAGTAATATAGTTTGGCAAGAATTCTAATTAAGGCAAAAATGACCAAGCACAGGATTTAACCATTTGTATCTGGATTTAGGACCTTCCACCCCTCAAGAATGGGTCTTTAAGGGAGCGTGTGTGTCTGAAAGATGAATGCAGAGCAAGGTGCTTTCTATTTGTTTCACTCAGTCACCAAGGAACTTTAATAGAACTAATACTGTATGCCTTTTATAGTGGAGGAGAGGAGGGATTGTCATTTGCCCAAGGTTACAGAGACAGGGCTGGAATTAATCTCAGCTCTAACTCCATAGCTCAGTCTTTCCATTGAGCTTTTTGCTTTCAAATCTGAAAATGCCAGGGACCATGACATGTAGTTGAAAAGGAATCTCAACTTGAGTTGAATGGATATTGAACTAGGTAATTCTACTGTTGGTGAAACTGAATGATAGCCTTAAAGCCTTTTTTGAAACTTTGGATAGATTTAATTAGTACTGCTAGAATTAGTTATTTGGCAAGATAATTACTTAGCAACTTTGGTACCTCTGTCAACCTCTGATAATTCTGATAATTGAGTAATTGTGCTACTTTTTAATCCTCACCCAAGCATATTTTTTTCCATTGCTTTTCAGAGAGAGCGGAAGGAAGGGGGGGGAGAGAAGAAAGAGAGATGAGAAAGGCATCAATGTGAGAGAGATTGATTGGTTTGCCTCCTGAACACACCCTGACTGGGGCGGGGGATCAAGCCTGCAACTGAGGTACATGCCGTTGGCCAAAATCGAACCCGGGACCCTTCAGGACACTCAAACCACTGAGCCAAACTGGCTAGGGCTCTGCTACCTTTAAAAGGCTAAGTAATGCATTCAAGGACCTGCAAATGCTGTTTTAAGAGTTTTAAAAATTGAGGTAAAATTTATAAACAGTGAAATGCACAGATCTTGAATTGAATAAGTTTTGACAAATGCATAATTTATATAACAGACACTCCAACCTGTAGAATTTATCTGCATCCCAAAAAGTCCCCTGGTGCCTCTTTCCAATCACCTGCTCCCCAGAAGCCACCTCTATGCTGTGATTTCTATTACCATATTAGTTTTGTCTGCTAAATGGTATATTTTGTGTAAAAGAAGAGCAAATGATAAACAGTGTTGCATTGTAGTGTACTCAAAAGCAACCACAACTGTGAAACAAGGTGGAACTCTATCCTCACGTATTCTTTTTAAAAGGTCTTAACCTGCAGATTAGAGTTTTTAAAATTTAATTTAAAAATTAAATAACCAATCCTGGCTCCTGAGAAGAAATAGAATATGCACCTTACCTGAACTGTTTTCTTTTGGAACTCTTCCCTGACATTTGGGAAAGCAAGTATTTTGGGAAACCATGTTTACAACCCACCAGTTATGTCACTTCAATGGCTTACTTTGTGTTCCCCCAAAAGAAAATGACCGGGGAGAGTAGTGATTATATTCGAAATGTCAGGAGACTCTTGGCTCACCCTTAAAGCCCGGGTCCCGCCTGTGGGTTAAGGGTGTGTGTGCGCTGGGGGTGGGGGGTGTGCGCCCCCTCCCGCTGGCCCTGGTGGGCCAGTCCGCGCTCCTTTCCTGGGGGATTTCCTGTCCCCAGCGGGCCGGCCAGGCGCCAGGCGGAAAGGATGCGCTGCCCAGGGCCCGAGGGCCGGCCTCGCTGGA